GATTATATTTCCCTAATGACATCTTTGTTTTCTGATGGCATATCACTTCTCATGTTCCTTTGTCTTCTGCTTCTGTTCTATCTGACATATTAGTTTGTTCAAATGTTCTTTAAATTTTATGTGGCAACGGCAAGGACTGTAATTTCTATATGGGACATGATAAGACATTTATGCCACAAAAGTTAGCTCTGCCTTATCTTTGTTAATAGATATTTCGTACATGGAAGTGAGTATGTGTTTATTAGGAACCACCTCCTATGTGCCAAGCATTGAATTAAGTACTAAAGGGGATAGGTGAGAGGCACAAGATACAAATACTCTTGAGGAACTTAAAATATAGCTGGGGAGACATGATAGCACAAGACAACCCAAGAAAGCAATATAAATTATATGCATTGGCTATAATTGCGACACAAGGTCAGAGAGTGATAAAATCAACAAACTCCAAGGTACCTGGGGATCACTTTGTGGAGAAGTTGGCATGAAAACATTGACAGGGTGGTAAATTTGGAAGGTACTGAAAAGTAAGAATTCAGCCACAACCAGAAGGAACAGACAGGAAAGTGGAATTGATGAGAGCAACGTGGGAGCTATTAAGCACTCTGCCTGACTGAAGATGAGAGATTATATTGAAGATTAAGAGAGATAATATTGATTATATTTTATTGAATTTATATATAAAATGCATGGAATGCTCAAAAAACTTAAAAAAAGTTTATATATCCAGTAGGCATATTATACAATTTTTAGCTGCTTCCCCCATGAGTCTCTTAAAATTCAGATTGTGAAAACTCCTATGTAAATGGGAAAATATTGACCCTTTAAGACAATAGCTATCAGATACCAAAGTGATTTATGAACACAGGTCTCCTTGTGGAAATTCCCTAGTATGAGCAGGAGAAATGGTTAGATAACTCCTACATTCCTAATCCAAAAAGGGTGGGAGGTCTAGAGATTAAAGGCTTATTTCTTTGGAGTGAACTGAGGGTCCATTGGGAATGTCCACAAGGAGGTAGGTTGTGGGGTGTTACCTTTTTTTCCCTCCCAGTGATAAAAAGAGGTGCTTCAACAAAACTCAGTGAGAGTTTAATATGTGTCCCTTGAAGTTTTGGGGGTGGTTGTGGAGACAGTGGACTGATTTCTGATGAATCTAAAGCCAAGATGAGCTAGTGAGCATTTATGGTAGAGAAAGTAGAGGTGCTCAATTGAGAGTAGCCCATTTCCCCAGGGTTTGTTGGAGAGGTCCCTGCCATGAATGTGAGGGAGCAATCATGAAGCTGTCCCAGAGAGCTGCCCAGGGGCTGAACTGGCTTCAGCAGATAGCTGAACGTGTTAGTTGGAGCTGTGGATGTAGTAAGTGATAAAGTGAGACAGTATGACTCATGTTGAGGTAGTATAAATGAAAGGTCCTCAGTGATTGGAGAAGGGGAAATAATCCCTGAAAAACCTGGAAAAGCATCCACTGGTTGAGAATCAGCTTTAAATACATAATAGCTCTCTTAGCTCAGTGAACAGAAAGTAAATTTTCCTTCTCCATTTATCTCTTCTTTCCTTACCTTCCATTTTTTCACTCCACTCCCATATTCCAGAGGCATTGGGAGCAAGATTAACTGGCTGGGGAAGAGGGACCTGGGGTAAAAATATAGGACCAACATATTCCTCTTCATTGGCTGTTGGTTTCCGCTTGCAGTGGATCCTAGCTATGGAGGGAAGACAATTTAAACTTTAAATCAGCTTTTTATATGTAACTGGCTATTCTAGATTCTAAATTGAGAATATGTTTTTTGCTGACAGTATAACTGTAAGATTTTTTAAACTCCCAAGTGATCAGGGTAGGGGCCTATTTCTTGTTGCCTCAAAAAATGCTACATTAGTTTACTAGAACTGCCATAACAAATTACCACAAACGGGGTAGCTTAGAATAAGATAAATTTATTCTCTCACAATTCTAGAGGCTCTAAATCCAGGATAAGGGGGTCAACAGGGCCATGTTCTCTCTGTAAGCTCTAGGGGAGAATCAGTTCCATGACTTTCTCTTAGCTTCCGTTGTCAGCAATCTTTGGTATTCTTTGGCTTGTTGACTCCAGTCTCTTCTTCCCTCATCACATGATCTCCCTCTGTGTGCCTTGTCTTTATGTGGCATTCTCCTCTCTGCATGTGTCTTTGTGCCTCATCTTATAAGGACACCAGTCATATTGGATTAAGGGTCCCCTCTTTCTATATCATATCATCTTAACTCACATTTTAATTATATCTGAAAAGACTCCATTTCCAAATAAGGTCCCATTCACAGGTGCAAGGGTGGGACTTTAATATATTTCTTGGGGGGCACAATTCAACCCACAAGAGATGTTATGCAGACTTTGGTCTGCTTGATTCCAGCATCTTGGAGTTGGGGACTATTGGTGTGAATCAAAGTCCCTTCCCAGTTTCTTTATTTCTAGTCATATATGCTGTATCTTTCAAAACATACAATAAGAGGTTTGATTCTAAAACAGTGTTACTTAATCTGTCCCTATCAGGGATGCATCTACTGGAAATACCTTTTTTTTTATTCTTTGAAAAATTACTTTTAAAAGAAAGGAATTTTGAAGGCAAACTCTAGTATACTTTTTTTTTTTAAAGAATTTATTTATTTGAGAGAGAGAGTGAGAGAGAGAGAGAGAGCACATGAGAGGGGGGAGGGTCAGAGGGAGAAGCAGACCCCCTACTGAGCAGGGAGCCCGATGCGGGACTTGATCCAGGGACTCCAGGATCATGACCTGAGCTAAAGGCAGTTGCTTAACCAACTCAGCCACCCAGGCGCCCTCTAGTATACTTTTGTTTCTATGTGGATTTTAATTTTTTTTTAAATTTTTTTATTGTTATGTTAATCACCATACATTACATCATTAGTTTTGGATGTAGTGTTCCATGATTCATTGTTTGTGCATAACACCCGGAGTGGAACACTGGGTGTTATGCACAAACAATGGAAATACCTTTTTATATTCTGTCCCTTTTCTCCTGATGCTGTTACTAGTATTTCTCTTCTTTGACATCCTCTGAGCATTTTAATGAGAGATTGGGGAGAAGTATAATGGGCTCTGCAAGTCAGCCTCACGCTAATCTGGTCTCCGTGTTTTTTTATCCTTCCAGTTCTTTGTATGCATTGTCTCAGCTCCCTGGAAAGACATATTCTTTCTTACCTGCCTTCCAGACTTAGTCTTCCAAAGTTCCTCTCTTTTGTGAAATTTTCTTAGACAAAACAGGACTGATAGTCAGCCAGTGCGTATCAGTTCAGCTATTCTGACTAACTTTTTAAAGATTATTTTTTAAATCTCCCTTTCCTGACTGCAGAATATTCTTTCAATACCTTCTATTGCTCCAACATGTTGTATATTGCTTAATGATTTAAACTTGGTATTTACACCAATTACTTGAAATAATTGTCTAAAGATGTGTTTCCTCCACTGAACTGTGTTTTTCTTGGGTCACATTTTGTTTATTGTTTTCTCTAAAGTCAGTCCATACCCTTGTCTTGCACTAGGGGTCATGAGGTGTTTTCTGAATGGGATTGAGTACTGATAAGAGTACACAAGGGGCAGTTTCTTTAAGAGAATCTTGAAATGTATCATAATTTCTTGGAGGATTTCTTTAAATTAAAATCTTTAGCAAAATCAAGAGAAACCAATGCAGTAGAGTGGTTGACAACTTACTCATCCTTCTGAAAAAAATTTTTTTCTCCGCCTGTCCAAAGACCTAAAATGACTCTTTATTTATTTATTTATTTATTTATTTATTTATTTATTTTTGTTATCACAGACTGTGATTAACAAATAGGCAAATTCGGTGATGTCCAGTATGATATTATTTTAATCATTCCACCACATGGCTCACAGGAGCAGAGATTTTCAATAGGGTAGTGAGATTTTTTTGAAAGGGGAACAATGATAACAATAATGTTATTGATAATTATATTAAGTAATAGTCATTAGTTCTATATCCCTTATACATTTTTATATCATTTATCAGCTCTGTGGAGTAGGAGGGATTATTATTCTGATATTACAGATGAAATGTAAAGGCTTACAGAGTTTAATGTACTTGCCCAAGGTCACTTGCTAGTAAGATGCAGTGATTACAGTTATAAGACTATTCTTACAGTGATTGTTATAGTCAGTTAATCAATGATGCTTTTAACTGTTAACATTTGTTCAAATAACTTTCTTGAGGGATGAATTTAAAATTCTTACCTAGCTATGTAACATTCCTTTCTGGAAAGCTGTTGCTCAGACTTGAATTTCTTATTCTCCAATGTGAACATTCAGATAATGATGCAATAAAATCTCTTATGGAATACTCATCAAGATTGTTATATGCTAAGAGAGGGAATAAGATATATTTTCATACTTTTGACTTCTATAAAGTGCTCTCCTCCTTGTTGCAGCATAGAAAAGCTCTGAAATTGCGTCATATAAGCAGGGTAATCTGCAATTATTTACAGAGTCATCCCATAATATCTCATGTTATCACTTCTGTGGAAAGACAGAATAGGAAAACACCCAAGCTTTCATGAATATTTTAAAACCCATACTCACTGCAGGAGGGAGAAAAATAAGTTTAGATAATTGCAAATTCCGTTTCAGTTAGTTGTATTCCAAGTAAATGTTCTGTCCCAACATGGCTTACATCTTATCTTTTGAAATGGTGGAAGCTAATGCTTTTTCTTGCTCAAGTGCTAGTTTTGTTCCCAGGTGAGAAGATAGAGAAGCGAGGAAAACAAGGCTGACTGTCTGCCACAGTCACCCATGTTCTCAGCTCTAGGAGAGGAGGAACCTTTTAGGAAACTACTTGGCATTTATAGCAAGTATTTCCCAAGGCAGCTACTGAATGGAGCTGAGTATTTTGCTAAGTGATTTTCCTCTCTGACCTTTATTACTAATGAATCTTCTTTAAGAAGTATTTAAAGAGTAAAAAGAAAGGTTGTTTTTATTAATCTCTTTTCTCTTTGCCCACAGAACCCAAAGAAATGGTGTTACCTGGCAAGAGATATGCTGTTTTTTATGAAAATTCAGATCAAGGTAATGCTTATTTTGAACTGATGTACTTTTTAGTCTGTTTAACTCTGACACATTAGACTCATTGGCTTTCTTTGATTACTGGTTTTAGCTATTGAATAACCCATCAAAAAATCAAATCATTATCTGAAAAATAGAGGGAATGATATATGATGATCATCATATTCATGAAGTGAATAGTAAATTTTAAAATATATGTTAGCTTATCAAAACATTATGGATAGTGGTTAATTTTATGACAGTTTCTTTCATTTATTTATTTATTTAAAGATTTCATTTATTCATTAGAGAGAGAGAGACAGCGAGAGAGGGAACACAAGCAGGGGGGAGTGGGAGAGGGAGAAGCAGGCTTCCCGCAGATCAGGGAGCCCGACACGGGGCTTGATTCCAGGACCCTGGGATCACGACCCGAGCTGAAGGCAGATGCCCAATGACTGAGCCACCCAGGTGCCCCCAGTTTCTTTCATTTATGTTAATAAGTGAATAGGATCTTGACTAGAAGATTGCATTCTCTTTGGAAATAGCTCCAATTAGTGTATCATATTTACAAATGATGGACAATAAGACAATTAGATTCTTACCAGGTTATAGTGATGAGATTTGCCTTTTATTTAAGCATTAGTCAGATGGCTTTACCTATTATTTTTTGAATATGTGAAAATTTCAGTACAAATTCCTAGAAAACGTCATCAAGTTTTTATAAAGGCACCCTCGTGCAAAACATATATTTTCTTTGGAAGATTGAGTTATATCATACAGTTGCTGAATAGCATGTCTGATTATGCTTAACAGATTGCCTATTTAGTTGCTAAATTTTCAAATTGCTATGTGATTTATTTACATATGTTGACCTAAGAATATGAACACTCATGCAAATATTCTAATGACATGTACATGTAAATGAAGTGTGGGTATAGATGCAGATATATAATGTGTGTATATTTTATGAATAAAACTGTTATCTCAAAATAGTTTTTTATGGAAACGTTTCTGAAAGTTTAGAATTGTGATGGGGAACTGGACCCATCTCTCAGTACTTTCTATTCATACAGCTGTGAAGATAGGATGTCACTGTATGTATATGAACACAAATAATAAATTATTGAAATGTACATTAGACTACATTCTAATTGGAATTAATTGGGTTTTATTTTTGACAAATCATTGAATTCCTAAAAACAAATGAGTGCTGAAACAAAGGTAGCATTTAAATATTTTTTTAAATTTTTTATTGTTATGTTAATCACCATACATTACGTCATTAGTTTTTGATGTAGTGTTCCATGATTCATTGTTTGCATATAACACCCAGTGCTCCATGCAATGCATGCCCTCTTTAATACCCATCACCAGGCTAACCCATCCCCCCAGCCCCCTCCCCTCTAGAACCCTCAGTTTGTTTTTCAGAGTCCATCGTCTCTCACGGTTCGTCTCCCCCTCCGATTTACTCCCTTTCATTCTTCTCCTCCTGTTATCTTCTTCTTCTTTTTTTTTCTTAACATATATTGCATTATTTGTTTCAGAGGTACAGATCTGTGATTCAACAGTCTTGCACAATTCACAGTGCTCACCATAGCATTGGGGAAGGTAGCATTTAAATTTAATGGACATTAGCAGAAAACTTATTTCTGAACTTTAATTTGTAGTTGAACAAAAATTTAGGTTGAATTGCAAATTGGGGTGTTTCTACTTATTTCTGGCTTTCAGTTAATTCTTCAAAGGATGTATAAACCCCTTAAGGAAGCAGCTTTTCTCCCCTAAAGGGGATTTTGAATTGTAGGCACTCTATTCTAGTTTTATCTATACTAAAATGTTAATTCAAACTATAAAATATCTTAAAATGGTTAATGACAGCAGTTGAGGGTTGCCTTTTGCATAGAACTATTAACTGTGACTCCCCAAAGAGAGACATAATGAAAACTACTTACTACCTAGACAATATGTGGAACAGGGTGAAGCTGAGCTATATGATATAGGCATAGGGAGATACGTGGTGGAAAAGTGCTTGTTGAGGGTAAATTGATGAATGACACAATAAAGAGGAAAAAAACACACTGAATGAGATGAAGCCAATAAAGAGGGTCAAGGATCTATGACCTTTAGAATGAAAATAAAGAAAGAAGGGAGCACAGACTATCGAGGAGGCATTCACGTGATATTTTTCTGTTTTCAGAGGTCTGTATATGCTAATATTCAGTTTTACTAGACTTTTATTTTATGTATTTAAGAGATGGATAAACTTATTTTGAACTGAATGTAGGAACAGAAAAAAGTTAGGATTGAAGGAGGGATATTTCCGTTAACATGGTAGAGTTTTCAGAATTGTGTATTCAGAGTAACATAATTTGCTTATCCTCAACATGAAAATAAAGGAACAGTCCTGTATACTGCTAGAGTCCAAGTGCTTTGGCCTGACAAAATTCCCAAAAAGCTTATGCTCTAGCATATGTGTGTTTGTGTGCAGGTTGTGAGTGGGATGTGGATGAGTAATTTGGAGTGGAGAAAATGGTGTTCACTTCATCATCTCTCTACGTTAGAACTTTTGATTCGTTGAAATAAGGGTGTTTCCAATCTTATAAAAATAATTCCTATTAATATGACAAAGAATGCTAATTGTTGATGCTCAGTATTCATTATCTCAGATGGAATATAGACATTTAAATTTCAATGTTTAATGTACTGTTGGGTTTGGTTTACTTGTGTTTTATTGAGAATTTTTGTATCCATGTTCATCAGGGATATTGGCCTGTAGTTCTCTTTTTTAGTGGAGTCTTTATCTGGTTTTGGTGTCAAGGTAATGCTGGCCTCCTAGTATGAATATGCAACTTTATGACATACTAGTGAAGGTGCTATTTTTAGACAAATGGGACCATTCAGTTTTCCCAGTTGCACATGACAACTAACACACTCATTTTGTGTAGAATTAACTCTGACAGTGGAGCTCAGAGAGCAAGCTATTGGAATAATAGATACTTGAAAGTTCTGCATTTGACTCTTTTAAAGGGGGTATTTTAGTCACAGTATTCTGAATTTTGTCATCCAAAGAGAGAAGCAACTTCAGCTAGTCAGGTCAAAATATCCTTCGATATGCCCCTAGAAAGATTATGTACAAAGAAAAGATAGAGACTGTTATTCTGTCGTATTTCTACATATGTTTATATGTCCTGGAAATATATTGAATTTCATAAGAAAATTTCATGTCTGTAATTTATTTTTATTATGTAGGAATATCAAGTTTTTTTCTCACATATAACTTTTTTGTAAGTAATTGTAATGCGATATTAAGGATTTGGCATTTTTTGATGTACTCTAGGTTGAGATCTAAGCTTAGTATAAATAGTTTTAAGAATTGAAAATAAACTGTCTCATAAGGCTAGTGTATAATGTTACTTATGTTCAAGAGCACTAATAAATAAATTATAAATAAATAGTTTAGTGATGTGTTTCATTGTGGTTTATTATACAGGATGTAAGAAACATAGATGTTATATATGTTGAGGTTTAAAAGGATGAAATGTGATATTTAAGAGCTTACTACATTACTTATATTTTATATTATTTATTACATACCTACCCTAAAGTAACAATGGAAAGTAAATCATCAAAACTTGCAGGTTGATCAATAAGTTAATGACCATGAATTTAAATGAGAAGTAGAAATACTTCTATGACATGTGATAAAAGGTGTGATGTAATTGTCACATTGCCTGAATTAGGTGCCATGTATGATAAATGTAATGCTTTACAGAAATATAGTTGTAGCATCAGGCAAAGTATGCTCCCAAAGAGTGCTTAAAGTGCAAGTCAGACAACAGATCACTGAGCATTTTCATACAGAAGTGATTAAAAAGTAATTCTTAAAGAGGATTTACATGACAAAGAGCTATTAAGATAATTTTAAAGAACTTTTTTGACTTTTATGGTTTTTGTCATTTGAAAAGTTCTTGTTATGTTTTAATCTTCTGAGGATTAGATTCTGTGGGATACGCCATTTTTTTAAAACCTGTTTAAAAACTCTCCAAAACTACAAGGCATGGCACTGTCTAAAATCGACTCCTGCAAGTAATATTCAAGTTCTTCCATCAATTCCCTGCCTATATTTCTTACTTCATTTCTCTCTTACTCCACCTCATTCCCTAATTCTTGTGTTTCTTTATGCTGAATACTCCACTCTGAATGCCCAATCTTTCTTCCTTATTCCCAAGCCTACATAACCTTAAAATATCTCTTTAAGGAGCCTTCCGAATTCCTCATAATACTACAACTATTTCTCTCCCTTAACCTGTATTCACTTGGTAAAGTCGTCTGGATGCAGTAGCTGCCGCCCTGTCATTGATTTGCATAGATTGCTACCTAGTAGTTCTTATGTGTGCATGTGTGTATATATGCATATGTACATATATCATTTTATTGTATTATATATAAAGGTACATACACAGACATGGGATTTCTTTCCTTTAATATGAATGTAAAAAAGATTCTTCTGCCATCCATTTTTACTCCCACTTCTGAGTGAAGTACACAAACTTTGAATGAATGACCTCCTTGTATCTCCATGATTTCCACTAAAGTAATATTTAAAGGCTAAAAGAGTCTTTTGTACTATGAGAGTTATAATTTAGCTATGTTTTGTATTATTTAGGATTGCCTTGAGAACTACTCTCCCTTTATCACATCTTTTCAATGAGAATACAATCTAAATTCAAATACATTAACTTATAAAGAAAATGATTTTCCACTATTGAAACATTCTCTTCACCACGGGAAGATTGCCCAGTTCTATCAACCGTTGGTTTTTGCCACTTTGCACACATGTCATTGAAGAAAATTCTAACCTGAGCTATTCAGCTAAGGCACTTGTTGCCCACGAGCAAAACCCTGCCTTATAAAGACACTACCTATTGCACATCTCACATCAGAACCGATAGGAAAAAAAGTTATATTGTAATTTGCCACCTCATTCATTTATGTATTCATTCATTAAATCAGTGTTTACCTACTAT